TCTTAAAGGTGCCACAGAACCCTCTGTTGTAATATACTTTGAAAGTTCAGAACTGCCAAATTCTTGAAAAAACAAAAGTAACTTTTCTTTGCAGAGATTTACATGAACAGATAAAGAGTTTTTCTAAGAAAGTGGAAAATAGATTTATTCAAAAGGCCTAAAATTTGATTACTTTGTGACTTTAATAAAACATCCACTTTTCTTCTCTAAAAAAGAGTTTGAATCTTAATTACTTGCTATAATGTGTCTTTTCTAATTTGCTTTTCTCTTGTACTTTTCACTCGTGATGTATTATGTATTGTGCATATTAATAAATAACTATCTCTCTCTTTCACTCTTTGTTTCTGTACATTTTCTTTCTATGGACCATCTGTTCAAGGGACTATGTGAACGGAGTGCAGAAAATTGAAATAATAAACTACAAGTTTGTTATAAAGCTGCAGTGGTTGCTCAGATTTCCTGGTTGGCATGGTACCCTGCCAAATTGCTACTGGAAAAAAGTACCAAACAGAAGATTACCACCTCCACTTGATCACCCCCAAAAAAGCAAACAAAAAACAAACAAAATGGGGGTGTGGTTATGACACTTAGGGGAGTCAGAAAAGTTAAAATAATACCTGTAACATCTGCAAAAAGAACATTAAAATTATATTAATTATTACAATTAGAAAAAAGTCACATGTTACTCCTGGAGTGCAGTGCAGCAGTAACATGTTAATAGTGGACATCTGTGTCTTCATGTAGCATCATATAAATGTGTCAGCAGACTGTCAAGCATACAGGAGCCACGTGCAAACAATGGTGATGCAAGGGCTTCATCTTTGACAGAAAGGTGCTCAGAAATCATAGATTTCTTACAAATGCCCAGATCCCCTGCTTCATTTGCATGCTACCCGACATCACAATCTACAGGTTTTACACATGCCTTGTCATTTGCCTCAATTTGTTGAACCAATGGCATGTTACATAGCAATTTAATATACATGCACATGGATTTTCCTATATTTTTAGACACTTCTGCTCCTTCTGTATTTCTCTGCACAAAAGGGGAAATATACCCTATATTTTGTTATATTTCTTTTTAGTTTGGTTCAACAGAAAAAGTCAACATGTCCAATTTCTGGTATCGCCATTATGCAGTATTTCTAATACTGCTCTATTATAAGAACCATTTCATGTTAGAATTAATACAGCCAAGCAAAATCACCATGAAATGGTACCAGACCAAATAAATGCTACTTAGCCATAATTATGGTATAAAAATAAAAATAACACTGGTCTACAATTTTTGAGAAGTCGTCTGCTTCAGAGATAAAATGTGCTATTTATTATGTATTTTG